CTCTAAAATAACGGTTATTAAATATAAGAGTGGAAAATCTCTGAAATGATACATAATTCAAGTAAATACTGGGATGGAAAACATGGGATACGGAGTAATAAAATTAATAGTCGGTAATAACTTCGGTAATAATGAATGAATGAAAAATTTCTATACTGAATACACATATAAATTACACTAAAACTTATACAACTATTTTCTTATAACTAATATACTAAACAATAAACAAACATATACAAGTATAAGCAAATTGCAATATATTTACGTAAACAGTCTTAAAAAACTTTAAAATTCACTAGTACGTTGCTGGCCTAAAACGCACTAGCCCTGAATGCATATGTAACCTGAGGTGTAGACGCCACGCAGGTAGAAGAGTAACAGAGGCCTGCACAAAATAACAAAATACTGCGATTGAAAACTCGCATACTAAGAATACCAAACCGAATCAGAAACTAGAATGGCAAACATCTCCTTTATGAGGCAATATATAGGGCAGGCAGATGTTTAGCAGTGAACTTTGATAAGCTGTAATGATGATGATGATGATGATATTATTTCAGATACAATATACTCGAACGGTGAAGAAAGAAGCGCGAAGGCACAGTAACGTCTTGAACTACGAGATGGGAGACAAACTTAGGTGTATAAGCGTGTCGATAATTATAAATTCTCTTTTATACTGGAGACTCTCGAACCCAGCAGTGAACTGCTTAAGTTCAGAAACTACTTATCAAGGTAAGAATCATAAATCCTTACCGTAGTCATATCTCTAGTGTATCCTTTGCTGTCTTCGGTGAAGCTGAATCCAGTGCCAACGGGATTATCAAAGAACACCAATGAATGGTTTTGCAACCATGAATACTGACTTTCTGCAAAAAAAAAAAAACAATTTATGCTACATGCTAAAGTGAAGTTGTACCAGAAAAATGTGTAAAAGATTTCATGACCTCGAAAAACTACACAACAAGTGCTGAACTAGGGACTATGAAATCGAGAACCCAGTGTCTTATGTTGAAGGTGTTCTGTATTTCAAGTAATTGCGACAGTTCTTTTACTCCTATTGTGTACATTCCAAGATCGAAGAAAGCAGCGGTGCTCAGTAGTAGAATGATTCTTCTACTTCTTTATTATTAAATCCACTGCTAGACTCTTCCATTACAAAGAGTCACTTTATAGTCACGCTTGGCAGAAGTATTGACAAACGTAGTACCAGGCGTTTCGCACCTTAGACGCTGTTTCACATCGCCAGTCTGTTTGTTTACGCCTATCTATCAGGAACAAACGACGAAAATACAACAAAGTATGCGATACTTTATAATACACCGAAAATATAAATAGTAATTCTAATTGTGGTGATCACGATATTAAAACAATTCGCCCCGTCTTTCTACGTGTAAATCGAAAATTTGACGCTGGCAATCGCTAGAATGGTTTTGGCATTATTTCGATAGATGACAAAATAATAAAAAAAAATCCTCCATAGGAGTCATAAGAGGTCATTACGAAAAGTGCCAAAAAAATTTGACCAATGCCAGTATAGCTAGGCCAAGCGTAAATATAGCCCAAACCAGCATAAAAGTTGCGAAATATCTAATACTGTTATCGCCAATCCGCCAACTAAGTATAGCATTTAATGCCATACTTAGCATAGATTGCAATTTGCCGTAATATGGAAAATTATCCCCAAGATACGAGATACTATTGTGCTTTAGTAAATCTATACTTATAAATGAAATTGAAATCTACCTGCAATATCGAAATAACTGCCTCATTTCACCTGCTTCGCAAACATTTTTAAATTTTTTCTCTATTTGTCTTTCTGTCTGTCTACCTGTTTGTTCGGGCTAATCTTTGGAATGGCTGAACCGATATAATATAACCAAAATAAGAATGAACGAGGGAAGAGTGACAAAGCAAATTTATGTTTCAGAAGTGAACGGCAAAGTCGGGAAGGGACGCCCTAGACGAAGATTTATCGACCAAATCGGCGATACATTGAAAATAGGCCAGATTAGGAGTACCCTTAACCGACGAGCGTGTATGCGTAGATATATGGATGTAAAGGAGGCGAGAGAGGTGTGCCAGGATCGCGCCAAATGGAAGTCCGTAATCTCTGCCTACCCCTCTGGGTGACAGGCGTGAGTGTTTTGTGTTTGTGGCTGAACCGAATGTAACGAAACTTCGCAAGCAGATATAGAGCAATGCCAGGATTGATCTAGGCAAGTGAGTGATCTTTTTTTATACGATAAATTTAAGGAATTAATGAAAAATACTTTATTGTACTCCAAAATATATAAGAGAAAAAATATTTAAAGGTACAGTTGGCGGCCTTATCGCTTAGAAGCGATCTCTACCAGGCAACCACATTGCAGAGTATATATGACCTGTGAGAAAGGGTAAGGCTGGACGTAAGTTTTAAGAAAAATTGTTAAATTAAATGGTTTTTGACTATCTTAAATTTAAATATATCACCACCGCCACATTTATAGATGATACCCAGGCGAAGCTAGGGCGGGTCGTTAGTGAAAAAAATCAAAGGAATTCATTAGTTACTAATTACAAATCCTGTGGTCAGAACAAAATACCAATTCAACATACGACCTTTTTAAATTGGAAATAAACTAATAAGTAGTTTTAATTTTATATGTAGCTTGATTTACAAGTTATATTTAATTATATAACTTGTAAATTAAGTAGGTATATTAAGTGCGATGAACTTACTTTTTAAATTGAATGTTGCATCAACTTTAAACGGACCAATTTCATCGAACAGTCCAGTCATACTGGAAGCGCCTGGACCTCCTTGTAGCCAAATGATCCAGGGAGTTTTATTTACTGGTTTATCTTCGACGGGAAAATACCAAAAGAAAAGGTTTGAATTGTACGTTTTGTTCACAGTAAAATATCCTGAGTAGCTTTCGACTCCGAGAAAAAATTGTGGGTCAACTCTGCTTGCGTTGCGAGCTTCTTGAAGTTGACCTCGTTCAATAAAAGGTGTTAGTATAAGAGCAGTCAAATTTTCGGTTTCATTAGTACACGCTTTTTCATTATATCCTTTTGAGTCCTCAACCTCACTATTGTCGGTTCCTTTACACGTCTGGTTTACAGATTTGTGTGTCTCGTCATTTTTAGTTTTATTTTCTTTAGTATCATCCTCTATACTGTTATTTGTTATCTCTTGAACAGTTTTTTCATCGTCAATTTTGTCGTCATCAATTGTTGCTACTGTTGTAGTAAAATCATCATTTTTTGTAACATCTTTGGGTTCTTTTTTATCTATTGAATTAAATATATCCGCAATTTTCTGTTCACTTAATGCAACCTTACAGTGGACACTACAAAATTATTACGTAATATTTAAATATATCATTTAAATAATTCACTAACGCAACCAATTACAATCTTACCTTGTAAATATTGAACTGAATACACAAAAAATAATTACTTTCATTAACACCATTTTGTAATAATTATTAAAATGATTTACATCGTATTCAAATAACACGTTCCCCTATAAATGGAGAACAAATAGCCAATATAAGATAAATGTGTACGATTTATCAATTATCAGTTGAACTAGTTGATCCCAGCTTGTAATATAATGACATGCGACACGGTCACTGAGATTTGCTGTTCAACGTTTACTATACAATTTATCGACACGTGGAAAAATAATACTTACTATAGTACATTTGTCTGACTCCAAAAATATTTTCATAAATTGCAAGTATTTGCTAAGTACGTTCAACCTGTTAGCAGATCCTGACTTGAATTTAGCACGGATGCGGACGAAGTTTGTTTTTTATTCAACACTTGCCTTTTATTTCTATTGCATTTATTGACAATAACAACAATGCCATTTTGTTTTATATATAATTTTAACCTAAAGAATATATTAAAGAAGATGAAGTAACACAATATAATATAGTATTGAGGTTAATTTTTTTTATAGGATAAGGGTGACTAACGAGCACACAGTCCACCTGATAGTAAGTGGTTGCTGTGGCCCATAGACATCTACATCTATCCTCGTTTGCGAATCAAAATACAGATGCGTTGTCACCCCTGAGGACTAAGATGGAATGTCTCGTTTGTATTAAAAAGGGTCTCCTGTTCTCTACACTTACCATACGAAACACAGCGGCATTGAGCTGTTATTTTATGTTGATATTCTGTGAGAGCATGGTCCTTCCCCGTTCGAGCCGATCCATTCGTGCTACACGTGGTAGAGCCACGCTACAGCTGTATTATGGTAGTAGCATGAATGGGTCGGCCCGACCAGAAGCTCGATCAGAATTACAGCATAAAATAGCAGAATAACGATCCTGTGTTTCGTTTGGTGAATGTAGAGAACCGGAGACCATTTCACTGGTAACAAGACGCCATTATTAGCCCTCAGGGGTGACAAAACATTTTGATTCTTAATCGAGTACAGATTTAGATATCAATGGACCATAAAATACACTAACTATCAAGTAGTCTGTGTTCCCGTTTGTGACTAAGGATGTAAAACAGCGCATATTAAAAGTATTCAATCTGCAGTGCTTACGATCCGCCAATCAAGATAAAGAGCATTATTTTCGTATAATCATAGCAAACCTGTAATTGTGCTTTATTGGTGTTGTATAGAATGTAAGTTCATTAACAAATTAAAAAAAAAACCACTGTGCTATTGCTATTAGTAATTTCTTTAGCGCGCTTTAGGAATCCAACGGTCTCCATCTAACTTATTATTTTTGCCAAAAGATAGTCTTAATATTTTAAAAGCTGAGAGTATGTAAGCTACTTACAAATATTTTTTACCATGTATTCCAAATCTTAATTTAAAATGCGTTTAATCTTCTAATTCTTTTATATTTTATTACATTATAAATCATAAATCTGAGAATATGATATATAAACCTTTAAAATAAGTAAAAACGGACTTTTAAAGTATGCCAAAATAAAGTAATAACGAGCAAAAATGCAACAAAAGGACAAGGCAAATGAAGGTCTTTATAAGTAAAAGGTTGTCTATATTTATTGACAATTTTTAAATTACTACAATACATAATTACAATACAATATATAATATATAACTTATACAACAATAGGTAATTTATAAATTAAATAAAAATAATCAGTCTTGAATTAAATGAGATAATGATGAACAGTACCAGTATATATTGAAATAGAGTCACAAACAAAAGTTTATTCAAGATTCTTATTACACTAATATGATACAAAACACTACGCACGCTATCTTAACTTCTTAATATATTGAATTTAATGTTTACTTAAACACTTGTTCTGGTGTTGAGTAAAAAGTCTCTCATAGTGCTCATGATGTCCGCCATTCTTGTTATTTGTGACGCTATCGTTTGTACGGATTCTCGAATACTGTTCGAATTTTTTATCTTTTCTTTTTCCAAACGTAAAAATTCTGCCGCGTCATCATCATGGCCTGTAACAAGGTTTCTGTGTGAAAACCAAATGACATATGTTTGGTCCAAAACTATATAAAAAAATCTGAAAAACGGTTGACCCTACAGTCCATCCTTGGAACTTCCTGGACACGCACGCATGCACTCACGCTCGCACGCACGCACCCACGCACGCACGCACGTACGCACGCACGCACGCTCGTACGCACGCACGCACGCACGCACAATATCCTTTATTAAACACTAAACCTAGACTTCTTTACAACCAAAATTAAAATCATATGTAATGTTTTCTCGCTACTGGCATTAGGTTTTTTTCTTTAAGCATTCTTGAACAAACTTTATTGTTATCGTAGTACGTATTCTTCGTTTATTTGGAAATTTAAAAAAATCTTCAAGCACATGAACCTTGACGTAACGCGGAGCCAAACTTATGCATTTAACTGATCGAAGCATTTAACTATATCGTGTGTCGTAACCAAAAAAAAAATTAAAAAATTCTACTTGTTTACGTGCACACATTATTTACACGCATCAACTCACTTAAAATTAAATTACTTGACAATTGAATAAATGTAAATCGGACATTAGACGAGGCACACCGCAATGCGCAATTGCGTACTGCGTCCATTATACAAGCCGGGCCAGGCCGCATGGGCGGATATTTCGCAAGTCGTTAGCTTTGGCAAGTGAGCGTACGATTTTTGATGTTGATTTCATAAGCAAATTAGACTTTTAATAAAAAGTAAAAGCTATCCTCCAAAGAACTAAAAGAAATAAAATAATTTCACATACTGCATAGATTAAATCTTCTATCCGTGTAAACTAATGTCAACGGCCGTCGTAAGAGGTGACTGAGGGAAACCGAATCAGAAGAGGGCAGCAGCATCTTGCTTATAACAACTTAATAATAACAAAAAAAAACTGCGATTCTAACGCTCTTGAAAAGCGTTGCAACTATAGCAAATATCTATACCTATAAGGCATTCTAAGGAAGAGATCTGTGGACTTGATTGGCTTAAACAATGAAATCAATGAAACAGTTTGGTATTTTTATTTACTCGAAAACGCCACTGCTAGGACTAGTAACAGATTCTCTTATATCTGAGACGTTTGTCATTTTAAGACAATTTTTATTTACATTTTACAGTTTTATCATCTAGTGATCTAGTCATTGATACATTACTATTAAATATGAAATTCTAGTCACAGATAAATAATATTACCTCTAATATCACTAATGCGTTCGTTGCAATCATCCTTGGATTTGGACTCGCGTGAAATGCTTAGTTCACAGCCATCTCGCTCTGACGCATCGACCTCTGACACATCTCTAGAGGAATATCGTCGCTTCCGGCTTCGTGTCGATCTTAATGTGGCACCTATGATGCAAGATATTATATGACTTACTTAATTATTATTTGTTATTTATATTGTTGATGACAAATTTTAAGTGTTAAAATTCAAAAGTTAAGTCATTAGACAAAATCTTTAATGTATCTGTAGGTTTAAATTAATTATATATTAACAAAAGCAGGTGTACTATTTAATAAGACAAACTGCTATCATATACACGATGAAATTAACTTGATTTTTTTACCATCGCAAATCTTAGAGTGAGAAGAAAATATTTGTGAAAATATAACAGCATGAGTATCAGTTAATTAGTACGGTGTCTACTGTCTACTATTTTTTTAAAATAAATAACATCGACACTGCATATTGAAGAAACAGTAAGAATGTGCCTATGTACAGGATTATTTTTCAGAGTAGCCAAAGTTTAAACTTAAGTTCAAATATACAAATAATGATGATATACCGTTATTGCAGTTTTTGAAAATACGAGGAAATGAGGCTTCTACTTTTATTTGAAATTAACATAAATTAAATGTGATCCTTACGAATGTGTGCGTGCGCAGTTAAATCAATTAAAATAATGCATTACCACGCATTTTGCATTTAAAAGATAAAAAGGACAGAATATATATGTAAATATATTACTTTTTCTGAACCTTCTCAGTAAATTTGGCCGGTTATTACAAAATAACCCTGTACATAATAAATAGAATATAAAAATTAAATGTGATAGTTTTAATTTTGAAAAGCAATGGATAATTTTTTAAGATTAAGCAAAGTAAAATAAGCTACTAACAGTTAAACGAAAAGTCTTTGGTAAACACCAATCGAAAAATAACACGGGAACTGTAACAAAATAAACAAGAAGTAAACATAATTAAAATTACAACCAACTTCAATATGAATTATCAAGAATAACTCAATAAACTATTGGTCAGACCTTGATCAAATTTATTGGGACCACATGTGAAGCACCAGCTTTCAAATAAAAGAATCATCTAAATCGGATCACCCAGTAAAAAGTTATGAGGTAAAAAGGACATAAAAAAATACAGTCGAATTGAGTACCTCCTTCTTTTTGAAGTCGGTAGAAAAGTAAGCAAAGTAATAGGTACTTTCCTTCTTATAAATTGATGTCACATGTCTGATATTATTTATGAGGAGCAACTACATTCTTTAAAATTGAAATATATTTTTACCTATATCATCAGTGAACGTTGCAGTGTTCCCATTGCTCATATTAAAATCTGTGTCCTCTTCTTCTTGATCCTAAAAAAATTGTGGCTAATAATTAAAAAAGTAAATTACGTGTTTCCAACTGATACTTTCGGTATGTTTCGGATCGGGAGATATTAACTAACACATACGACAGTGGCAAATGTACGTACAAACCCAGAGGCACTTGTCCTAACCAACATGCATTAGACTCCGAAGATACTCACATAAAATTCAGAGCCATAAACCATAAATCTGTATTTTAGTTGTTGTAATTCGAATCCATAAGACGCCGGGCAATCGGACGTTATCATATTCGCCTCTTACAACAATGACCGACACCCATGGGACTAAGGGTGATATTAGATTCGCTTAAGCCGCCGCCAATACGTACCGTGTGTTAGCAATCATGATGTTTTTTTTTAGAATAATAGTGACAAACGAGCACACAGTCCACCTGATGGTAAGTAGTTACTGTGACCCATAGACATCCATATCCATCCTCAACTACGAATCAAAATGCAGATGTGTTGTCACCCATGAGGACTAAGATTGAATGTCTCGTTACCAGTAAAAGGGGTCCCCGGTTTTCTACACTCATCATACGAAACACAGCAGTGTAAAGTTATTATTTTATGCTGGTATTCTGTGAGAATTTGCCGTGTAGTGGCGATCAAGAATATCCACTACCCCATAACTTCCCGTGGGTGTCGTAAAAGGCGACAAAGGGAAACAGACAGGGGATGGGCAGCAGCATCTTCCTGATAATAGCCAAAATTACAATAAAGAAACTGCGGTTGCCAACCCGCTTGCCAAGCGGGGCAACTATGGCAAATACCGCCCAATGATTAGAGCAACAAACACACGGCCTCCAGTCCCCGGCGGCCCCGCTATTCCTGGATACGGTGGCGACCTTGTTAACGGCGGGGCAGGGGGTGCTAAGAATCTCCGGTGGAGGTTCGGTTGCCACCTTAGACGACTCGACCTGGCAACGTACAACGCACGCACCCTGAGGACTGACGAGAAGATCGTGGAGCTGGAAGAAGAGATAGACAAGTTGCGCTGGCATATTATAGGATTATCCGAAGTCCGAAGAGAGGGGGAGGACACGGTAATCCTCGAAACCAGCAACTTGCTCTATCACCGGGAGGGCGACCATCTGTCCCAAGGAGGTGTCAGATCCCAAGGAGGTGTCCACAAGTCTCTCGTTAACAACGTTGTAAAGATCGGGAGTGTGTCGACGAGGGTTGCGTACCTTAGAATCAACAAACGGTATTCGCTGAAGGTCATACAGGTTTACGCACCAACCTCGGTACACACCGATGAGGAGGTGGAGGAAATGTATGAGGATATCTCTAGAGTCATGCATTCCTCCAAAACCCAATATACGGTGTTAATGAGAGACTTCAATGCAAAACTAGGCACAAGAGAGAACGGTGAGCTGAAAGTAGGGAAATTTGGAAAAGGGCAACGGAACCCAAGGGGCCAGCAGCTGGCCGACTTCATGGAGAAAGAGGGACTCTTTATGATGAACTCTTTCTTCCAGAAGCGGCCCCACAGGAAGTGGATCTGGTCGAGCCCCGACGGTTCGACAAAAAATGAGATTGACTTCATTATGACGACCAGACGACAACTGTTCAGTGATGTCTCCGTGATCGCGAGGGTAAAAACTGGTAGCGATCACCGAATGGTTAGAGGCACACTGAACCTAAACGTTAAGTTGGAGAGGTCTCGTCTAATGAAGTCAACGCTCCGTCCCCCTCGGGCTCTGTTCCTAAGTCCCGAAACCTTTCTGCTCGAGTTACAAAACCGTTTTCAGTGCCTAGAAGACTGCAATGAAGTGGACGATATGAATGACAAGCTCGTGGAAACTGTCCATGCGGTCGGAGCTAAGGTCTGCAAGACCCGCCGCAGAAGAACACAAAAACTCTCCGATCACACTCTTAATCTCATGGCTGTTAGACGGAAGATGAAGCTACATTTCAACAGATTTGACAGCATACAGGCAACTGAAAAGACAGATCTCCAAATGCATGCGGCGGGACTTACGCAACTTCAATACTCCAAAGTCTTTGCCAGAGATCTGTCTGCCAGAAAGAGCTATCTGTCAAAGCTGAAGACCAAGTGTGGCAGCATCGTTTCCGGGGCACCTGAGATTTTGAGTGAGATTGAGAGGTTCTATGGACAGTTGTACACGTCATCGTTGGAGCCACACGCAAGTGTGAGTAACGATCCAAGAGCGAGTCTCATCCGACACTATTCCGAAGATATCCCGGACGTCAGTCTGAGCGAGATTAGAATGGCTCTCTAGCATCTTAAAAACGGCAAGGCCGCAGGCGAGGATGGAATTACAGCGGAGCTCCTGAAAGCGGGTAGAAAACCGGTACTGGAAGTCCTTCAGAGGCTCTTTAATTCCGTCCTCCGTGGTGGTATTACACCGGAGGCATGGAGCAGAAGTGCGGTGGTCTTGTTCTTCAAGAAAGGTGACAATGCTCTCTTGAGGAACTACAGACCGATTTCCCTTCTGAGCCGCGTCTACGTGGTTTTCGAGAGTCATTACGAATCGTCTCGCACGCAGACTTGACGACTTCCAGCCTCCCGAACAAGCCGGTTTCCGAAAGGGCTTTAGCACCATAGACCACATACATACCCTTCGGCAAGTTGTACAGAAGTCCGAGGAGTACAATTTGCCACTATGCCTGGCGTATGTGGACTATGAGAAAGCCTTTGATTCCGTCGAAATTTGGGCGGTGCTGCAGTCCCTTCAGCGGTGCCAAGTTGATTGTCAGTATATCAAAGTGCTGAAGTGCTTGTACAGTAGAACTACGATGGCTATCCGAGTACAGAACAAGAGTACGAAACCTATCCAATTGCAGAGAGGTGTAAGACAGGGTGACGTTATATCCCCAAAACTCTTCACCGCTGCATTGGAAGACGTTTTCAAGCGTCTGGCCTGCAAAGGATACGGTATTAACACCTTCGATTTGCCGACGATATAGTCCTTATGGCAGAATCGCTGGAGGACCTAAGCACTATGCTCAATGACCTCAATAGTGTCTCCCAACGGATAGGTCTTAAGAGGAACATGGACAAAACAAAGATTATGTTTAATGTCCATGTCACACCTATGCCGATAGTTGTGAGCACTAAGCTCGAAGTTGTTGACAAGTATGTTTACCTGGGACAAATAGTCCGACTAGGTAAGTCCAACTTCGACCGAGAGGTCAATCGACGGATTCAACTCGGCTGGGCAGCGTTCGGGAAATTACGGCACATCTTCTCGTCAGACATACCTCAAAACCTTAAAACGAAATTGTACAACCAGTGCGTGTTGCCAGTGATGACTCACGGAACTGAGACGTGGTCCTTTACTGCTGGCCGTATGAGGAAGCTCAAGGTCGCTCAGCGAGCTATGGAGAGGGCTATGCTCGGAGTTTCTCTGCGTGATAAACTTAAGAATGAGGATATCTGCAGTAGAACCAGAGAAACCGACATAGCCCAACGGATTAGTAAGCTGAAGTGGCAGTGGGCCGGCCATATAGCTCGAAGAACCGACAACCGATGGGGAAGAAAAGTTCTTGAGTGGCAGCCTGGTACCGGTAGGCGAAGTGTAGGGCGACCCCCCACGAGATGGAGTGACGACCTGGTAAGACATGCAGGAAGTCGATGGATGCAGGTGGCTCAGGACTGTGCTTTGTGGCATTCCTTGGGGGAGGCCTATGTTCAGCAGTGGAGTTGTAATGTTGATGATGATGATGATTCTGTGAGAGCGTCCTTGTCCGTGGCGATCAATTCGTGCTATAACTATACTAGTGATATAGCTGCAATATGGAGCTACCACGTATAAAATTAATAATTGAATGAATTACAAATTTATAATTTTCTTCCAAAATTTCTTAAATTTTAAATAATTAAATTTCTTCTTTAAATAAGTTAATTAAAGAATTGTTATATGAAAAAAAATGTGATGAAAGATGTGATGTGATGAAGTATGAACTGAACATTGCCTTACATTAGCCAAAGGATCTGTTTTGATGACAACTCCATCGATGGCGTTGTCTCCTATGACGCTCAATACACCTTCCTCTAATCGAGACAAAGGTATCATGCCATCCGGTGGCTTTCTGTTGTTCTCATTAGCGACACTCAATTCTAGTGCTCGTCTTCTAACTCTGTATTTCCAGTCACACCAATACTAAAAAAAGGCAAAAATCTTAATTATAGGTAGGTTAATTTGTGTGTCTCACACAACTGTGAGATGCTGAATCAAACAGTCTTACAACATACCTTAATGTATACTGTCTACCATAAGATATGGTAGTGAAAGTTGGGTGTAGCAGAAGACGTATGAAAGTAAAATTAATGCTGTAGAAATGCAGTTATTATGATGCATGTTAGGGCTGATTTTGAACGATAAGGTAAGAAATTGGTATAATGGAAGTGAAAGTAGCGAGGGAGGTGTGTCAAGATCCTGCAAAATTGAAGTCTGTACGAGCACACAGTCCACCTGAAGGTAAGTGGTGTCTGTGACCCATAGACATTTACATATATCAAAATGAAGATGCGTTGTCACCCATGTGAACTAAGTAGACTAGAATGCCTCTTTTCCAGTAATAAGGGTCTCCAGTTCTCTACACTCACCAAATGAAACACAGCAGATAAAATCCGTAAAAATTAGTTTTATTCAATGTGTAGTGTTTGTGTAAATGTAAGAAATCATTATATAACCTGGTCTTTAAATTCTTTTGTTTACTTATTGCGAATAACATATTAAATAATTTTTTGTAATATTGATAGACACAATCTATAATGAAAAACCCGAAAAACAAAAATCTAAAATTTCAAGAATTCAGTTTCATTTAGTTGCAAGTAATTATTTACCTATCAAGTAGATTCTAGCTAGATAAGATTTAGTAAATAGTTATATAATGCACTTAACAGAAAAAAATATTATCGGGTTTAGTAGTGCAGTGATGTTATAAAATATCAATGTTTACGCCAGCTTTCATGTTATTATCAATTTTAAACAGTTGTTGCATCTACTAGACAAAATGCTGTCACATCCAGAGTAGTAGTATATTATTTACTAACCGAAACAACTAATAAGTGGAAATAATGTAACATAATTACACAAAACATTTAAAGATTGATTGTAGATTCACATTAAAACACCACAAATGTAATTTAAATCTCAACAATTGTACATACCATTACCATTACAGCCTATTACAGTCCACTGCTGAACATAGGCCTCTCCCATAGATTGTCTCATAGGGAGGATATTTGCCATAGTTGCCACATTTGGCAAGCGGGTTGGCAACCACAGTTTTTTTTTTATTTTTAGTTCTTGTTATCGAGATGCTTCTGCCTATCACCTGATTTGTATCCCTCTGTCGCCACCTATGACACCCACAGGATGATATGGGGGGAGTAGATTCTTACACAGCCACTACAAGGTTTGGAATTGTACACACAGTCTTAAGTAAATATGATTTTAAAAATTAATACATTAAAAACTACATATTTCCGCTATGTAATATTTTATGTATAGATATTGCTTCTTATATGAGATAGATTATTTAATAACAAAAAAAACATCTATTCTTCATATATGTTTGTAGCATTTTTCAAATTGATTATAGCTTTTGTGGGTACAGAGCCTAATTTGAAATAACTTTTTTAATTTAAAAAATATTCCACTTAGTTTTTGTAAGTACCTTGGACCAACCCTTGGCATCTTTTGTAGTTCCATCTTCTAAAGCATTTAGTTTTTTAGCACACGAATTCCAAGATTTTACTGAATGCAATTTCCCACGGCGACCTCTTGTTAATCCTCTAGCCAAGTCTGGATGACATTTCATAAATTCCAGAAGTTCATTTAACTGATTGAGACTTACTTGCTTTCTAGTTTTCAGGCCTGCCTCGACATATTATAAATATTTCTGTTAACAACGAAGAAAAGTCTGTATAACAACAGTAAATAAAATACAAACCTACATCCATGTTAAAAATTTATATTATGGAAAGCCTCAAACAGGTAAACTTGATAAGCTTGTAAAGTTTAAATAAATCAATAATGGGTCCTCTTCATATATGTTACCTACGTAAATAAAATTAAAAATTAAGAGAGAAAAGAATACGAATCCGAGATAGTTGCTTGATAAAGTTACAAAATACAAAGTTATCAACAAAAATTACCAAAATAAATATTAATATTTACAAATATATTATAATATAATCTAGATATAGATGTTCGATGCGCAGAATCGATTCCAATAACCGATTAATTTAAATAAAAATCGCATATTTAAAATAATCGGACTTATGTACACTACTTCTGGAATCTAAAAATACTCTGTGGTTAGTGGTATACTTTTCAAACGCATAATTGATATTATGAGCTCTCTCTGCTACGTGAGAGAAACTTGTATTCGAAAATTACGCAAATTTTTGAGGTCTCCATGTTATACGGAGTGACGAAAAAGTTATCACATAAAATGAAAAGACGTATGCTACATAAATTTCTTTAAACATACACAACTAAAAAAATATATAACAATTAATACATTAGCCGCGGTAGCATTTTTTTCGTTTCAATATTAAATAACATCATGTAAATGCATACAGATATCACCTGATGAATTCTAGAAGGTCAAAGACCCATGCCATTTCAAGGCGAATATAGGTAGTTTAAAGGTTATCAAACCTAACTACTCAAATAAAGAAAAAATCAAACAAAAACTGCACTTACAGCTAACAATTTAAGGCATAATTTTATGCGCGAAATTAAAAACAAAGGGAACGCACGCTGCAGGCGTATGAAAACAAAGTCAAGCGAAAAATTTATTTAAAATAATGAAGTTAAGGCATAATTCTCTACGCGCAAAGTGACAAGAAATGGGATCGGGTGTTAATATAAATTATTATTTTTCTGGCGCGTGCGACGTTTTGTAAGTCACTTCAGGTCAGTAACCTATATATCAAGGCTGATTTATTTCTTGTCAATATTTTACCCTATTTATTTTGTTTGAAAAATGCATTTTTTATTTTCTTTTATTATTTTAACAGACATATATCAACTTGTATTAACTGCTGTGCTATTTAACGTGATAACCTCGGCGCCACCCAGTATACATACTTAATGTGAAATAAATTAAAAATAAAAATAGAATGATAGAGGTGCGGGAGTAAAGGTGGTGCACTTAATCGTTTTGGCTTAGTTATAAATTTTTCTGTGAAAAAAAAAATATTTACAAATCTTGGACTAGGTATGTAGATTTGGCCACTCCATTAAAAAAGGAACTAAATTTTTTAACCCTTCACATTTAAAAAGAAAAATAATTTGAGAGTAAGAGAAAACAACGGTTCTATTTAGCGATTTTTATTTTATATATGTTAAAATAGATATATTGGTACGTGTATATCGCTATAGAGACATAATACATTTATATTAAAAATATATTTCGAACGTAATGCAATCATAGAACTATAATTTTCACTAAAATTAAATTTTAGTACCTTTGGATCATTAATAAGCAACGAAACCGGTTTAAAATCATAAGGTGCTTTGATTTCGGAATGAAATGAAAATCGATGTGCTCACTCGATTAATAAAAATAATTAATTCTGCACGTCACTAAACAGCATCATACGATTTGTCAAAGATGCTACTTGTCAACTGAGATGTCAAAGTCAAAGTCCAATGACCAAAGATAAGAAGTAAAGTCACATCAATTTTTTCTTGGCATTGGCTGTAAGGCTTTCATCCAAAAAGAACATTTACACTAACTATCCTAAATGATCCAACAGATTTGATGACAGCATCACCAAGTATTTTTCAACTAACGGAACTGGATGAGACCATAAGCACCAAACAAACTAAATTTCTTGACATTTTATCTCCATCGAAGCGCTTGTTCCATCATTTCCATTAAGTACTTTTACATTCACAAATATTTATTACTTTTACGCGTCTAAATCTACATGAAATCATTATTTTTACTGAAAGCGAAGCATTCTACATAAGCGCTCAACGGTGACAACGCATTCTGAATTTTGATTCTTAAGTCATTCAGTGCCTTGCCCACCCATAGGCGGGCATAACTTTATTCACATGCCGAGTCCGCCCATGGGCGGGCGGATTTCAAACGTTAATAAGTATGTCAAATAACATGAAAAAATTATAAGATTTTGTCTGATAACTCGTTTTATTATGATTGATTCGTTACCAAACCGGCCTGCGGATATCTAAGATTTTAGAAAAGGACAATTCTGACCTGTCATGCCGACTCCGCCCATGGGCGGGCAGCGCGTATTCAGAATTAACAAACCTTTTGTTAAAATTTTAAGCGAAAACAATAAAATAAAGTATATTGTTTATATTTTATTATCACATGTAGTGATAATAAAATATAAACTTTATTGTTCCTTGCACCTTATTATTATTATTAAAACAATAAAACCGCAACAATATACAAGCTGTTACACAAAAGCAGGTAATCCCTTTAGGGAGTGATTTTATTGCTCAAATACAACAACTTTTTCTATGGGACCTACGTCGAAATCTCAAAAATATTGGCTTCCCCATACTAAACCGCCGATCAGATGAGACAAGTTAGTGTGGAGAAGTATTTTTTTTTTGAGATTTCGATATAGGTCCTATAGAAGAAATTGTTATTTTCGAGCAATAGAATCACCTCCTAAGAGAATTACGCGCTTTTTGTAACACCTTCTAGATAAAACAGTATATTGTGGGTAACTAGGAAGCAAGATAAGAATGCAGATGATGATCTACATAAGAGGAGCCGATCAGTATTCGTCACTTTGAAAACGGTCAAAGTACCGACACCTTTGTTTTGGTCACCGACCATATACAATTTTTCGGTATGATTTATGATTTAATTTTGGCTAATGACCTATTTCGGATTGTGGTTTAATACAGATAAGATCATAAACTGTCGGTAAATAGGAAACAAGATAAGAATGCAGATCTGAACAAAAGGAGCCGGTCCGTAATAGTCACTTTGAAAACAAAAGAAGTGCCGATACCTTTTGTTATGGACACCAATCATTTTATAACTTGCATGATTTATGATTTAATGTAAGTAAGGAGCATATTATAGCAAAATAGTCTCCGGAAAAAGCTTTCTCTCACATCTTGACGTTCGTGGTTTTCACGACTTGAGTTTTGCTGAGTGTCTTGGAATTTTCGTTTGCTGTTTGACTTAGTGCATCGAGTTGAGACTATATCCTCTGCCTAATTCCTACCTGTGAACGAAATATTCGTTCACAGGTAGGAATTAATGCAAAAGGGATAAGACGTGGGAAAAAAATTAAACATACAAAAAGATTGACTACGCATGACTTGAAAAAAAAAAAGGATTGTTAAGGTAGCGGTAAAAATACTTTAGTGCACGAAATTGAATAACTTCAAAAATTAATTGAATTTTTACCATGATAGTTCTCTCTACCGACAAACTTAAAAAAAAACTCCCCAAGAATCAGATCGGAAAGTTGTATTTTGGAGTTATGATCTTTGGAGAAAATTATTTACTGCCATGGACACACGTAGTGTTTCTATATAGTTTGTGCATGGACAATTTTCCCGGAATTTCTTTTTTAACATGTTGTTAATATAAATAGGTAGATACTTAAGTAAGTATATACATATATATAGTTATGAGGCGTCATCATGCTTCATGTTTATATTCTTTTATCTGTCCCTGAAAAGTATAAAGTAACAATAAATTTATTGTTATTTTAGCTGCATGAATTTTAAAAACATAATGATCTTAACGGAGTAAAATGCACCAAGTGTTTGGGGATACAGATGCACTGTCTATTCTCCCAATCTCGGTATATTAAGAAAATGGTCACTCATTCATGGACTGACCCCTTCAAGTGCAACTTAATCTCGCAGATCTATTGATCCACGCAGTAATTACTTAACTATGAGTTCCTCTTCTCTACGACAAACGCTGTGGGCGATGAACCACGCTATTTAAGTCCTCGGTACAATGTCGTCGGCCATCAAGCATGAATCGGGCATCGAGCGTTGTGAGTATCAAATACTAAGGAATTTATACTATCCTGACACATAGAACCGTGCGTCTCATACGCGAGTGTCTAGTGGCGCTTCAAGAGCATTACTAAATATATTATATCTAACTACGCTAAAAGTTTCATCATTGTGACTTCGGAATATAATCCGAAGTCGCAACCCCTTGGGGAAAATAGCGTGATGCCATGAATATTGTACTAGTGTGACTAGGTGCTGGTGGTGAAGTAAGGTTATACATTTTTTTGGTTAATTAATTGAATCAGGCGTTACTTTGCGGAAGTCCATATACTTTGTTATTGTTATAATAAGTCTTCCAAAATTTAACTTTCAAAACTTTAATTTTTTTGGTTGATAAATAGATACTTAGTTGAGTTCAAAATGGCTTAAATAAGATAATCTCAAGATTTTTTTATCTTTAATGTACTACAGATTTATTATGTATATACATCTGTTACTATTTTTATTTAATATTTTCATATTATCTTCACGCACAATCCCTGACGGGGTAGCCAGAGAGAACAGATCGCCAAGTGTCACGATCCTTACATATCTCTTTCGCTTCTTTCAGATTCATTATCTTCTTCATACATGCACGTCTAGGTATCCGAGTACTCTTGACCCTACCCTCTTCGAGCAATTTGCTCACATGAAAGCTGTCCCAGACGCGAGGCCCACCATACTTGACCATTTCAGCAGTAACTCTGTCTAGTCCCGCAGCCTTACCACATTTCAAACTTCGAATCGCACGTTCAATCTCTTTCATACTGATGACCTCGGTGTCATCGAGGTCCGGGTCTGGCGTGCCAGTCACGGCATCATCCCCGGATCCCTCACTAAGATCATCACACGCATACATTTCTCTATAAAATTCGCTCCATCGCTGCATGACGTCCGATTTTTCTGAGAGGACGTCATTAGTTCTCGAAAGCACTTTGTTCATTCTTAAGGCCGTCGCACCGCTTCGGGTCCTTCCAACCTCTTTCCAGAAGAGTTTGGAGTTCTCCTTAAAGTTGTGCGACAATCTTTCATCCGCTTCCATTCTACACCTTTCACGCACTTCCTCAATCAATGCTTTCGTGTGAACTTTCTGCAGCTTATATCTTTCTTTCATCTTCTCTCTCATATCCTTATCATTACTAGAGGCCAAGTAG